ATTGTAGATATATATTAATAATAAAAAACAGTATATATACTGTATATGTATGTACTGTAGAGTCCGAATGTATGTACAGAATGTATATGTAGATAGAGTTTGTACTGTATACTGTATATGTATATTTATACAATGTATATAGACTGAGTTTGTAGATATGAATACAATGTATATGTAAATAACTCTATATAGAAACACTGTTACACACGGATACAAATATATCCATTGCCCGACTTTTTTCACATCTAAACATTTTTAAATTGTTATTGTTCCTTTGCTAGCAACCCGGATACGATTTCAGGCTCCTGCAGATGCTTCAATCTAAACCTCAGGAAGCTCCACTATACAAATACTGACTAGAGTCAAGAAAGTCAAGCTCTGGCCCCGCCCCTTGCACCTTCTTAACCTCACCATTGGCATTCTGCAGTAGTGATGAGTAAGAGGGGGCCAGAGCTCTGCCTTCCAGGATCGGGTCAGTAGACATATTTTAGAGCAGGGGGTCGGCAACCTCGGCCGTCCAGCTGTTGTGGAACTACAAGCCCCATGTGGCATTGCAAGACTCTGACAGCCACAGGCATGACTCCCAGAGGCAGAGGGATTGTAGGATTTGTAGTTTCAGCACAGCTGGAGTGCAGAGATTGCCTGTTTTAGATCATCTGGTGGTTTCAGGGTCCATGCAGAAGTAAGCTGATGGTGGTTTTAGGATTGTGGGGTATATATGTATATCTGCAGTTGAATCAATGGCAGTCGGTTCCTGATTTCCATCTGTGAGACAATAATTAATGACGGTGATAAATCGATCCCATTCATCTTCCTGCAGACCTCAGATGAAGCTCCTAAGTATGTCTGACATGTGGGGATGCGGATGGATTGTCTGCAGAGTAATCCGGGATGACAGGGACCCTCACACCAGGCAGAGGTGACTCCGCAGGATGACAGCGCCCTGAGCGTTCCATTCACGCGGCTGCTGACTCAGCAATAGAAGCGATCCGCTCCGCGCATTTAAATTGCTTTGACATCAAAGTGTTTTGTCTCCGACTGTCCCGCTTATTCCATCTGCAAAACCACTCGGAGTATGAATAGGAAATTACTGTCAGAGCGCTCATGGAGGAGATTTATAGAGGGGCAGGGTCATGTGACCATAGGGATCGCCTTTTTTTAAAGAGCCTCGGCACTGATCACATGTCTGACCCCCGTCCTCCCCTTCAGTCCTCTATCTGACCTCCGTCCTTCCCTTCAGTCTTCTATCTGACCTCCATTCTTCCCTTCAGTCCTCTATCTGACCTCCGTCCTTCCCTTCAGTCTTCTATCTGACCTCCGTCCTTCCCCTTCAGTCTTCTATCTGACCTCCATTCTTCCCCTTCAGTCCTCTATCTGACCTCCGTCCTTTCCTTCAGTCTTCTATCTGACCTCCATCCTGACACTCTCTAGCGACGCGCTGATGTTTTCTGGGGAGAATGAGTTGCGGCTTATTCATATGTAAATACCACAGTTTAGAATATTTTCAGTGGGGGGCCCGTAACCCCCATCTTAATTTTGTAGAGAGAGCAGGAACGCGAACACCTGGTGCCAAGTGTGTAGATGAGGAAAATTCTAGGACAATGGGTGGGTCAGGGTGTGTGGATGTGAGGTGGTGGAGGATATGTAGGATATGACACTTATGAGAGCGGAGGTGGTGGGAGACTTCTGGTGGTGTGGTCATGGGGTCTCGATGCCCCCCCCCACCTCAACGACAGGAACCCATGACCACACCACCAGAAGTCTCCCACCACCTCCCCTCTCATCACGTGTAAGTGTCATATCCTACATATCCTCCACCACCTCACATCCACACACCAGGGGCCCCCCTATTGTCCTAGAATTTTCCCTATCCACACACTTGGCACCAGGTGTTCGCGCTCCTGCTCTCTCTACTTTGTTCAATCCTATACAATTAACATAAAAAGGAGCAGCACACTGGCCACCATCCACCACACCACCGTAAGAGTGCGCTAACCAATCAGTCTTAACCAGAACTTCCTATCTGAATTTTGGTTGCCCCCGTCTGCCTGACATCTTGTGTTCGGGTTTCTGCTGCCATGAAACCCGGACACAGCATTCAAAACCCGGACTGTCTGGGTGAATCCTGGACAGGTGGCAACCCTACTAGGCCCCCCAGCCTCGGGCCTTAGTGCAGCCGTACCAGTGGTAGGGCCACCCCTGACTTTGGCCTTTTCACCTTGGGTGCCAATGGACCTTGTGCTCTCCTTTCCTGCAAGCGAGTTTACAGTGTTAGACTAACAGCAATCTGCAATGTAATAGAGCTATGCTTGGGTCAGTGAGGAATCCTCTCTCTGTCTGAGTGCTGATTAAAGCAAAAGACAGATTCGAGTAATTAACCTGATTATATTTTATATATATATATTATTTTTTT